ACCTAAACTTAGCATAACTAGATCAAGTACAGTAACAGATTGTTGTTTCAGTGATAAATTAGGTACTGTTTGGAATAAGCATTTACTGCTTTACTGGTATAACGTGTTTTGAACTTGAAAAATTTTACCCTAACATCTTATACAGATAATACAGATATTACATCATACTGATGTTTGCAAAACAGTCATAATTTCCAGTACTTCTGTAATGTGGTGGTGAACTGTAACTATAAGAATAATACAAAAGATTGGATTTTTTTTCAAATTGCAAAATCATATAGATATTCTCAAACTGAAGCTTGATACATTCTGTTCTACTGCAACACCGCTATATTGGCTTTCTTCTTTTTGGCTCTGCTGTAATCTCTTGTTACTATAATTTGTATTTTATTTTATTTATTTATTTTAATAAGTGATGTTGAAAATGTAATGGAACTCAGATTTTATTTTATTTATTTATTTATTTTAATAAGTGATGCTGAAAATGTAATGGAACTCAACTTTAATGGAACTCTATAGTTTACTGCCTCCCAAGTCCATTAAACACCATTTTTGGTAAGGAGGATGTTTTCAATTTTTCCAATGCAAACTTTTAAAGGAAGTCATAAAAGTGCGATAAAAGCTTCCCTCCGGTACTCGTGACATAGTTTGCTTTAAAGGAAGTCATTTAATTATTTCCCGTCAAGCCCAATGATCAAAAAGGGTGTTCCATCACCAAGCCTCATACAGAGAGAATTCAAAAAGGAAAACATTTTTTCCAACCAAAAGTGATGCTGTATTTTAGATAAGATACCAGTGATAACAAAAAGCAGCACCACAAAGGCAGAGTATGTTTTTTGCATACAACCTATAAAAGGTTATGCCCATTTCCTTCCTCCAGAAGCTACAAACCCAACTACAGAACACACGCTGCAGAGATAACACACATTCTATTAGGAATTATAATTCAAAAATGAAAGAAAGAGTGAACAGTATTTCATTAAAAAAATTCCTTAATGGCTGAAAAACCATGCATGCTGATCTGTAAATATAAATATCTTCAAACTGAAGTTTTAATGCAGAGATCCACTGTCTTGGGAACTGCAAAATCTTCAGATGTAGAGCATCAAAAAAAAGTCAACTGACTCTGAGACCACAGAATGCTCAAATGTAAGATCGCTCTAAGAAAATATAAATATACTAAATAGCAAAGAATATCTTGTTCTATTATTGATGGAGTTCAGTATCCATAATATTACAAACTCAAGATGATTTTTCCCCTCATACAGCTGCCGTGCATTCCCTCTTCTTCCACTTTCGGTTTTAGTAGAGGCAAGTCGTCTATGCACCACAATCTACTGCTCAGCAGAGCTTTCCACTCAGTGGAGAAAACTTCAAAAGCCAAGGTTGACACTTACAGAATTTTCACTTTATCAGTGAAAGGCCAAATGTTACTTATTCTCAGATTTCAAAGAAGTATGGAACCAAAAGACTCTCCCAGGCACAATTTTAAATTGTTAAAATTTAGCCGTTCATAAAGCCCACCAAAGACCTTCTCTATATCAGATCTCACACTGGCAGGAGGAACTGGTCACTTTTCTAAGGAACAGAATTTTTGTGATAGCAGAACACTAATAATTTTATTTTAGCTTTAAAAAGTTGTATCTTAACCAAAGAGACATTCTGGCAGTTCTGCAATATAGTAATGAAGCAAATAAAACTTCTCATCTACAAGTGGAAGCAGCCCAATATACAGATGACACAAATGGAAAATCTTCACTCTCAAAAGACCTAGATACTTGTATTTTCATAAAGACCAAAAGAAATACCCACTGCCATATACAGTGGGGTCTTGACTTGAGAACTTAATCCGTATTGGAAGGCGGTTCTCAAGTCAAAAAGTTCTCAAGTCAAATCTGCATTTCCCAACCCACTGCCATATACGCTATTCATGGCCACTACCAGAGAACTTGATGTAGCATAAGATATTGGATAAGTCCACCTCAACTCAAACATCAACACTAAAAGCTGAATGGACCTTGTAGTGCAAGGGGTGAGGACTGCACCACATAATTCACAGCTTTGGGATTTATCCCTAGAACAAGCACAGAGTTCACAATACTGAAATAAAAATTGTAAAAGCAAGTCAGAGATCAATGTAAAGTTACGAACAGTTTTTCCTATGGTTTGCCTGCTACTCTTAAAAAAGGTCCACTAAAATCATGTCACAAGATAAAACTGAGACTATCCTTTCTCTATCATCTCCCATCTTCAAATGAAACAGAGTCTCAAATGGAGATCCATACTGACTTTTATTATGTGATACGAAGGTGTCATTCCACTGTTAAAAATGTTGAGATGTAATTTATTAAAGTGTTACTAAAAATGCACTATATATAAACAGATATAATCACTATGTATCTCTAATCTATCTCACGCACGAAGAGCAACATTATTACACAGTTAATACATCTCATAAATCAACATGGGAGATTAGGGCAATCACTGAATCACTACTATGGCCAGAATCCAATTGGCACAATTTATCCCATGAAATGGGATAGGGAATGATTTAAAGTCAGAAAATCACCACAGCCATCCCCCAAAATGGCCTTAGCATGGCCATAGCTGATGACATCACTAGAACTGTACAGCAGAACTTGCGCACCTGGATTCTGGCTATATACATTACTGAATAAAAGAGAGCCGAGCCTATAAAATGTATCTGATTTGAGTATGCTGAACTTTTTTCCATCAGTGTTAATTTCCGCACTTTATATTCCCAAGCATTTATTGAGTTCTCTGCAGCATCTTTCAAAGAACGAGTAATCGTTCATCTAGCTGCTACACACAGGAAAGTGATTAATTCCTTGTGACGTACTGATGCACTAGAAACCAAAAATAAATAAATTAGTCCCAATGCTGGGGCGATAATCGTCCCCTGCAGTGTTATCTTTCCAATTATACTTTTACCCAGAAATTAAATAATCTAGGGTAATGTCACCAGGAATGTAAATATGTACCAATTACTTTGCAACCCATCCAAGATTTTGGATCCAGATATTTGTTTATATACCTCACAAATTGAGTATAATATCATCTATATGTCACTTTGAGGCAATGCTCTCCCACTGTCACTGAAATTGATTTTAATGTTTTTTTCAGGCCACAGATTTTTCCAGTATTCATCTCTGATAATAAATTCTAAGTCTTTTTCCTAGACCTTTCCGAACCCCCAGCATTATTACCTTATAATGTACTAACTAATATAGCGTAGATCTTAGAGTTCAGACATTTGTAGTTGTTGTTAGCCAACAAAATTATGTTCTGGAGTAGTGCCAAAGGCTTAACAACTGCTTGTAAGGTGAATTATTTGGCGAAGTTGAAACCATGAGCTTCTTACATTGCCCAGTTGTGCAAACACTGAGTCCTAGTCCTTGAAAAAAGGTTATGGAGATGGAATAAACCATGTTCCTTCCATCCTCTAGACCAGTGGTCCCCAACCTCGGGCCTCCAGATGTTCCTGGACTTAAACTCCCAGAAGCCTTCACCACCACCTCTACTGGCCAAGATTTCTGGGAGTTGAAGTCCAAGAACATCTGGAGGCCCAAGGTTGGGGACCACTGCTCTAGACTACAAGCATTTGTCATCATTAAAAATAGAGAGTAACTTTAGAAGGGTAGTAAGGATCTTTGAATTACATGATAATAACCTTATACTGTATTTCATTTACCTCTTTCATAAAAAGTTTTCATACAGGGATTTTCTATGTATATGGGGTATTTTTATTTCTAAGAAGAAGCGGAAGTCTATAGATTTTTTCAAGGCCCCTCCCTTGGTGATTAAAATGGTAACCATGTAAGTTCTTTGTCACAGTTAAGTGCTGAGAGATAAGTAAGAAGTGACTTAATTAGGTGACAGTATCCAGTGTTCATCTGGACAAGTCTGTGGAGCAAAGCATTGTAAAAATGGCAGGCAGGATAGAATGCAGGGGTTTAAGCAAAACTAAATGCTGGCAAAGGCAGGGAAGGGCAGCAGAGCTCTAACAAAGACAGGACATCATTCAATAGAAGAGCTAGTGATGAGGGTTAGTGTCAAGAGTGGTAATGGTCAATGGGAGATTTCACAGGAATACCTGCCTTTTTCTTGTGCTGTTTCTCTCACACACGTATACACCCCCCCTCTCTCACACACAGAGAGAGAGAGAGAGAGAGAGAGAGAGAGAGATTCACCACTTGTGTACTTTGATCATTTTACTCATTGATAGCAACACATCTTGTTATTGCACCTGGTTGGAAGGATGTGTCCATTATCTCCAAGAAAGCTTGGTTAGGAAAATCTCTACATATTCCTACCCTCAAGGCACTTACTTACACAGATGTTTTACAGGCAGAGATTCTGAGGATTTTGCATCCGTATGGTCAGCTTTCATGCTATATTTAAACAATCTTTTTTGTCGAGTTACTGGTGCCAAATATAAGTGAAAACGTATTTTTAAATAAAGTATTTGAAGAAAAAAGAAGACAACAACTTAACAGTCCCTTAAACTATACTAAGAGATATGAGTTCCTTTTTTTCATTGTCTTATCTGTGTGTGCATGGACACAAACATGAGCTAGCTAACTATAAAGATTTCCTTTTCTTTTCCCCTTACCTCCCAGAATTATCACTCCCCCCCACTGTTTTTTAAGTTATTCATTGTTGCTCTAACTAAAATAAAATCCCACTAGTGAAAATAATTATTAGTAATTTTACTGGCAATACCTTTTTGTATTTAGCCATAGTATACAAATTCAAATTTACCTTGTTTGCATTGTGAAAAATATATTCTGCAAGGTTCACATACAGTATTGAAACTGAAAAAGAATCATTTTGAATTTTTCCCACAAAAATTAAGAATTTATAGCATGAGCAAGTAGCATCTACTCACAGATAAACAGGAGAGCTTTCCTGTAGCAAAATCAGTCAAACTTTAAATTCTTCTGCCCCTTTTTTGATAACATATGGTCTGAGATTCTTACCATGATCAAGTATAATCAACTGGGCTGCAGCCTGTATGTTTCCCACATCATTTTCTGCAATGCACTGATAAAATCCTTCATCTGATTTCACCAGACCCAAAACCTGTAGGTTATGCTCATTCTAAAAAAGGAATGTACATAATATTATCCTTCTGTTCATCAGAAGATAACAGTGAAAAACATACCAATCCCATATTCCCCAATATCCAACATATGAAAGGCAAAATTGAATGTCTACCATATCACAGAAATATCACAGATTTAGCAATATTCATCTCATTAGTGCAGGGCAAAGACCTTTTTATTTTGTCAAGCTTTTCAGGTATAGTTTGAATCCTGCCAACCATCTTATGCTTCTGCTGTTATAACCATGGTTTTAAGCATATTTTATTTATATTTTCATTTCAGTTATTTTATTCTTTTTTTGTAAATTGCTCTAGTAATAGGACTGTTGGGTGGCATAGAAATAATTATAAATAAACAAAACAAGCAGGCTTACTCATATAAGTGAACAGATCAAGGCAAAAACAGATGGGGTTCGGGAGTCCTCCATAATTGGTAACTCTTCCTTCTAGTTTTCGCTGCTTGCTGCAATGCCAAGGCAGCAAAGACAAGACGTTTCTGGACTCTCTGCTTTGCCAGTTGATAACGGTCAGTTCAATATGGCAACAATTCCCCACAGGCTGATAAAAAGCAGTGATTCTTGTCCAGCTTAGCTTCTGTAAATTCCCTAATTTATTTTCAGAACTCAGCTTGGGAGAACCCGCCTAACAATCTGAGTTTCTTCCCATCTCACTGTTTTGTCTTTAAAAGTCTGGACATAGTTCTCTTTCCTTTATGAATCATCAACCCACCCACTTTCAATTAATTTTCTTCAACTCTATCTTTCGAGTATCTTGCATTCATTTCCCCCCTTCTTTTCATATTTTAACATTTTTCTAGATGAATTTTTCTTTCTCTTTTATTCTGCTCCTCAATCGCTCTCTGCTCAGACTTTGCTTACTCACACTGCCGAGGCACTCTGCCATAAACTGCTAGCTTTCTTGTCATTTCCACTTGCCTTTTATCATTTCTTTCTTTCAATAATTTTAAAATAATTTTAACACCTAGCTTCCTTTTTTACTTTACCATTCCCATGCAGTAATCGTCTTCTTGCCCCTTATGCCACCCCCACCCCAAAATTAATTCTGCTTGTTGTCTTTTTTCTTCCACCTTTTCTGCATGGTTGGCAAACTAATAATTGCCTCATTAACTTTTTTGCATCAGACAGTTTATCTTCCAGCTATCTCATTTGTAGCTAGATTCATTCCCCTGCTTTTTCTCCCCTCTCTAATTATGATGCTCAGAACATCAGATTTAAGAAAAAAATAATTCACTTACACCACTGCTTATATTCTTAATCCATTCTCTTCTCAGAACTGAACCAGACAGAGATATATGGATCACTGTCAACCCTAACACAAACATACACACTTTAGCACAGCTAAACGATTCCAAAACTGTTTGCAGGAGAACATGGGTAGGCTTAATCTCTTCTCCTCAGGTCATTTTGTCAATCAGAGACACTCTCCTAGGAGGTGACCTCACAAAACATGTGTAACACATACAGGATTAATTATCCAAGCAATAGGAAAGATTTTCTGCCTACCTCCCGAGTCCTAGACTGTCATTCTGCCCACTACACCACAGTGGCCCTCAGTAGGTTCAGACTTTAAGGTTATATAGTTGAAGGTGAAGAAAGTGACTTGGCATGTTAATACTTTCCTGGATCAGGCATATGCACTGCACATGACAATTTAGTTCTGTATAGCTCCAACTGAAGTGTTTTCATTATATAAAAACCAGACCAGAGATTTCATTAAAATGATATACTTACCACAATTTTAAAGTAGTCACTAGGGATCACCACATCTCCATTCTTTACCCACTTCACTGTTGGAGTTGGCTTCCCAGTCACATCACATTCAAACACAATATCCATGGATTCATGAGCATAGATGTTAGAAGGTTGCTTCAGAAACTCAGGAGGAGCTTCAAAGGAGAGAACAGAAGACAGAAACTAATTAATGGCCAATGCAGCATACACTGCCTGATCATTTCTTACGATAACAGAACAGGCAAATATCCTTTAACACTCGAGCACTATACAAAAGTTTCAAAGGACCACTTTCCAAAAAACCCCTCTTGTTTAACATTAAATAATGGCATCATAAAATTTAATAAGTAAGAAATGATTAAAGGCTTTAAGTTCATAATTCACTTTCTAACAAATTACAGTAGTTACATATTAAATTAAGACAAATATCAAAAGAATTAAACTTTGAAAATTAAACTTAGAAAGTGTAAGACATTTTTCATGAAAGAAAACAACATACTATACTAATCATTGGAAAGAAAAGCCATCTTTAGAATATTCTGATCTCTCATAATAATACACTTTCAGAAATAAATTTGTCATCTAAGTTATAACTGACACAAGTCAAACAACTATAGCTACAGCTAAATAATCTACCAGGCATTGGATTTTCAGCCATAGTTTCATATTTTGTTTCACATTTGCAAAACAATCCTTAAACAAACCCATCAATAAATATAAACACATCTAGGCTCAATCTATTCTGCATGTTTACTATAATTCAGGAAATCTGTTTCTGCCAGCACCATTACAGGTTTTCAAGTCCAAAATTATTCCACATACCCTCTATGGTTTCCCAGTTTGGGCAAGTGCTATGAATCAATCTATTAAACAGCTACAATCCTCCTTCTTATGCAAAGCGTTAGGACTACCTAGATGCATGCCCTACTTGGTACTCTGTCTGGAGTATCTTTAATATAGACTGCAGCTTGGTTGTGCTCATTCAAATTTTGGTTAAGTATCTATTACAATTCAAACATGGACAAGAGATGGGGATGACTCACCATTTTGGTGAGTCGTCCCGCTTCACGATTCGTCAAAAGTTGACGACTCACGAAGCACGAAGTTACCCTCATGAAGCAATAAATAATGAAGTCATTCATCAATTCGTCTGGGGGTAATTTTAAAAACCACCCCCACTGCCACCACCGCCACCACCCCAGCTGACACCCGCTTACCGTAATCACCGCTGCCGAGATCTCCCTTTGCAACAGATTATTTGCATCTGATTCCTTTACGCATCCAACTGAAACTGCCCCCAAAAATGTCAGGCCTTTTCTTTGGCCAGATACAATGTCATGCCTACTGCTATATTATATGGCAGATTTAATGCAGTTCCCTATTCTGAAAGGCACTGCCCATGTAAACAGGGGGTGCTGGAAACCCTTGTTCATATGTTTTTGCACTGCCCGCTTCACTCAATCAGCTGATCAAGGTTAATAGCCCCAATTTTATTCAAGCTGGAAGGAAGGTCAGATCTGGATAAAGTTCGCTATATGCTGACGGCTGAGATGACTAACATTGTAGAAAGAGTTGCAGACTTCCTTATAATTAAAGAACAAAGGATACATTTTATATAAACAGAAGGGGTTTATTAAAGTGACCTAAACTACTGTTCCTTTAATACTGTACAGTGGTTGTCAATGCTGGGTCTCCAGAAGTCCCAGAAGCTAGCCAGGATTTCTGGGAGCTGTAGTACAAGAACGCCTGGGGATTCAACGTTGGGAGTCACGGTTTTTACAAATGGATGGATAAAGGAATCAGATGGAAAAAATCTGTTGCAAAGGGAGAATGATGTAAACCAAGCAAGCTTGAGACAAACTTCAACAATAATCAAACAGGAAATTATCCCTAAAATGTGACTCAATTTTGTGAATGAAGTAGGAATGGACAGTAGTGCAAGGAACAAACTGATAAATAATAAGCAGGGGCACTAACTTTGAAATGTCTTGCTTACCAAATAATGTGAAGAGCCTTATCTTTCACTTCTTACAGCATGTCTACATACAAATTAATCATTTTAATGAAATTAATAAAAACGTTCACTGTGTATGTCCAAATTCTGGCTTGTACTGATCTTATTTTAATTTAGCTGAGATTCTATGCTTTGTGTCAGACAATTAAGTTTCAAATAATCCTTGGAAGCTTAACTTTTTCTCTTTACTTTTGCTAGTGTCACTGTAACCCAGAAAACAATTATATGTATTAAATGTACAATTGTCTTAAGTGTGATGATAGCATCGTGGACATTTCAGTTTCATATGTTTGGTGGAGAGTATGCAGCAGAAAGAAGAGAAACAACCAAGTGAAGAAAACAAAGCAATCACAAATCTGCATTCAGTTCTGACAAAGCTACTTACCACCTTTTCAGCAACAAGTTACAAAACTGGCAAGCTGCAGTTCTTGTGCCAACATAGCATAATTTTTAAAAAACATATTTCTCCGTGATTCCTCAACATCTCTGTCTTTGCCAAACAGACAAATATTACATCCGATGAAAGTTTACCCAGAAGAACAAGTCCTGCAGCATTCACAGAAAGCTCTGTAACAGTGATTGCTTTTTCATAAAATTGCTCCTAGATGAAGGCTACTGAGTGAATAAAGGCCATCCAATTTCAGGCACACACTTGGTAGCTTTCTAGACATTTATTGGTCTGAATTTTGGTCAGGGTAGAATGCTGAGGCTGTTAATAAATAATAAATATCCACCTAGAGATGGACAGGAAAAACTGCATCCTATAAATGCTACTAGACAATTTGTTGGCTTTGAGAGGGATCATAATGAGGCAGTGAATATACTAATTTATGATGGCATAAATTCTGAGACCTCTGTTTGATCTCTTCTGCTGATTCTTTGCAGGAGGCATTCCAGAGACAGCAATTTCACGGGCTCCAGATTTTTGTCTTCAGTTTCACAGAGTGCAATTTTGTAGATGATATTCAATGGCACGATGGGCTGATAACAACTAACTCTCTCCTCATTTTTCATACAGCTCGGTCCATTAGTCTTATCACTCTTCCAATAACTGGTCATAGTAGAGAACTAATTGTTGGCAGGCAGATAAATTCAACCCAAGCGTGGCTTGAATAATTATAACAGGGTCTTCTGATAATTTATGTATTTGTTCGACTTCAATACCACCCATCTGGCTACAAGCTTACTCTTGTATACTAACAAAATTTATCATTCCATGGGTTTTCATGGACTTAACGATCATGTAGTCTTGCAACCTAGTTAGGACTGCGCTTCTTGTTGCTGCTGAGACTTAATCTCCCGTGATCATTGAGACTTGCAGCCCTAAAGTATTCTTGGACTCATCAATCAGCCTGGATACTAAGTTGCAACAGTGATCAGCAATGTTTTCTACCAATTTCAAAAGGAGACAATAAGGGACATTCCATGCTTTGTACCATTGTTTAATTTCCAATACAGTGAGTATTTCATGTTTAAGGCATGTTCTTAAAACAGGGAAATGCCATTTGATACAATCTCAAACACAAAGCTCAGCTTGAAACTGACAAGCCAGGAAACCAAAGGCAATTCAATTTACGTCACAGTATTTTCAGGAATCTCTGTAAACCAAAATATAGTGACAGAAAAATGAAAAATATTCCCCAGCTGAAAAGTGAACTTATAACCTTGTCAACATCTGTCTGTCTCCATGTTACTTCCTGAGTTAAGCTGATAATGTGAACACCACCTTCTGATAACCTACGTAAAGGAAATCTGCCTCCCCTCTCCCACTGACTAAATGAGAACCGATTCATTCCCCACCTCTGTATTATTTTTATTAGATATAACATAGACACAAACATACGCACATAGCATCCTCAACACTAATTCAGCGGAGTGTGCCTGAATTCATTTCTGTATCATTCTAGGTAATCAAATCATAATGGTCCAAAGGGTATGAAAGAAAATGGAGAGAGAAACACTTTGTGGCTTGCTGTTTTCTCACGCAAACTCTTTTTTGTTTCAAAAATCCTTTCTGTATTTCTTGAAGACAAGGAAAACCAGCAAAATGCCTTATCTGCTCTTAAGATACATGTTTCTCGTAGAAATACTTCAGAAAGCTTTCAGTCCTCTGAAAAAATTATTACAGTTCACCATATAAAATAGTTATATATGCAATATGCATATAACAGGGATCGGGGAAAAAATACATTTGTATTTGCATTAGAATTGGTTACTTCCCTCCCCTCGCCCCAGTTACAAAATTTGGGCAGTTTATGGGAAGGGGGCAAGATTTTGGGCTAAACTTTAAACAGAGTTATGACTAGGGGGACTGGGAATTCAAGCAGAATTCAATTCTGTGGTAGACTGAGTATCGCCATTACACACTTTTTTGGACACTTTATAAGACTACCATCTAAGTTAGTGGCATGGCCAAACTCCAGCCAACATGGCTTTTTCTCTTCCATATCCCCTGTAATTAAGCCAAGTTGCCTATACAGCGGAATTCTATAAGAGAGGGAAATAGGAAGCTACCACTGCATTGATGGCAAATGTCCTCTTCTCTGAAATAACAAATTGTAACAGCCGTTATAATCTGTTGCTAACAAATAAATAAATGAGGGTAGCAAAGTGAGTGGGCCTTTTCAGTTCACCTCCACATTGCCTCTATGGATACTTTTTCTTGTCAAAGTTCAGGTGACGTGGGAGGAAGCAGAAATATTTCACACTAGGTAAAATGTCACAGTAGTCTCAGATGTCTACTATCCCCTGTGACTCATGGGTCTCATTGATGTAACAGTTTAGGCTCATACAAAAGAACAACTTGCACCTATTCTATACCAAGTCACTCTATCCATCCAACTAGTTCAGTACTGTTTGCACAAATATGTAGCAACTGTCAGCCATATCTGGAAATGACAGAGATTAAACATGGGACCTTCTGCCCATAAAGCATGTGCTCTGCTATTGAGATATGGTATCTTCCATGTCAAAACCATCCCCTTACCCACAGATGTTCACTTGAAATGATTGCACCTTTTCTACCCCTGAGAGAATTCCACATTCTGAAAGCATTGTAATCTTGACTACTGTGAGTCTCTAAGGAAGTATTTACATACCCTGTACAGTAAGATCAGCTTGAGCTTCAATCGTTTCATTTCCATTATCTACAATGCAGGTATATGTTCCAGTATCATCTTCTGTGATATCATTTATCTTCAGAGTCCCTCCAGCCAGCAGTAAAAACTTTGGAGAGCTGTGCAAATCACAATTGGTTAAGTGACTTTCTAAAATTGTAAATGCACAGAATTCTGATAAATGAAAAGACTATAAACATTCCTTCCATTCCTGATAATGATGGATGCCAATAATTTTAAAATCTCTCTCCAAGAATCTATTTCCATTCTTAATAAATTCAATGAAAATATTCTAGTTAAATAATTTTGTACTTTGTATTCTGCATCTACCCCCTTCTTTTGCATATACTCAATAAAGGTAACAAAAACTGAATACGCTGCCCTTTGTGTTGTCCATATTGGTAGTTTGAAAAAATCAGACTTTGCTAATGAATAGAAGTGTTAAAGTTCAGTTTTTTTAAAAAAAATAATAAGTATTAAGGCATATAAGCCCACAAAAAACATGATAATATGACAATAACAAGGAAAATGAACAAAGCCGGAACAAAAACTGCCATGAACGAGCTGATAGTTGATATCTATAAAACGTTTCCTTTTTATCTGCTATGACATCTTGAGCTGATTATCTGGAATGAGGTGCATTTGCAAACCAAGCCTAAATTACAATCAGATTCAATAAAGCCAGATTCTTTTCCTTCTCTCTTGAAAACTTTGAAAGCTCAAATTATTTCTGTGCTCTCTGTTCCTGTGTTTCGCACACACAAAAATGTTACTAGCACTCAACACAACATTAGTAGACTTCTCCACATCTGCTTTCAAGGCTGCTGGCGAGCTGAGCTGCTTTTCAACAGGTTCAAACAGAACCATTGTCTCTTCCTTGACATCACCATTTTACATTTGATCTGTTTTACCCATGCTGTCTTCAGCTGGCAGCAAATGTTGAAGCCAACAGTTTAGGGAGCTCCTTTGTTGTTGTCCAATAAGACCTTAATATCAAGTATAAATAACATATCAGAGTAATACTGACTGAAGACTTTAGTGTATCGAACACTAGGTCCAAGTACTAGGAACTCCAAAATTACCTCCTATTTTGCTTGATGATTTACATTTTGCTGAGAAGATGCAGTCGGATAGCTTTATCTGTTGGACAATATTTTCTCAGACCAATAATTAATCACTAGCTATTAGAATGAATGAAGACATCAATAAAGCAGGAATACTGAATCTGAAATTTCCAATGTTCTTCTAAACATTAAAATGCTATAATGTCATATATAACAGATATATAATCACAAACAGCCAAAAAATAAACAAAGCAGTCATCAACCAAATGAGGGGTGGGAAGAAGTGAGCAAACTGAATTCAGGTCCTCAAACACTCCCTGTTGCTTCTTTGATGCCTCAGGAAACAGCAAGGAAAGTGGAAAGCTATCTCCACAAGAAAGAAATGGAACTGTGCTATATAACACCTGCCTCACTGGCAGATTCTTACAGCAACTTCCACAGTTCAACTGGGAGCATTCCGTTGCCTTTTACATTCACTTACCATGCAATTTTGAGACACCTTCTTCCAAGAAGTTAGGCAGAGACCAGGGAAACTTATTGCAATGAGAAAGAGCGACAGAATGCTAGAGGTACATACAACATTAAAGCCAGGGCTCACCTTTCTGTAACAAGCTCTTCTTCATTTCTTGTCCATCTGATAACAGGAATGGGAATGCCTGTAGCAACACATGGCAAAACTGCACTCTGTCCAGTCACTTTGATAAGTGAGGAAGGCTGTTTGAGGAACATGAGACTTGATGGAGTTTCAGATTCTGCAAATAACACAGCCTAATGTTATTGTAATAAAAAGAAATTTAAAGCCATGCTAACAAACCACACTTATTAAGAAAGCAAGAGTCTGTAGTAAGCTATTTTTCATTTGCTTCTACATACAGAAGGTTGAACATTCCACAATTATTATTTTTTTTGGGGGGGGGGAGATCAACCTAGATGCTTCTGTTAGAAAGTTAAATATTAACAGATCCTGGAACTTCTGAGACGGTGTTCGCAGAGGCACAGAACCCCATTGTGTGCATACATGGAGACCACGACAAAGAACTGTACTTGCATATTTTAACTGCCATAAGTTCTGGCTTCAAATGCTTGCTGGGCTGACCAGGCCGACAAAAGTTAGTTACAAAAATGTTACTCAACTCTGTTACTGGTTGAGAGTACCCTGTTTTATTGTGTGATAGCAAAACCAAAAGCCTTTAAACTGTACCATTTTTACAATAGTGTTCTCAAAATACTACACAGTAGAATGTCATTTAAAATTAACAACCTTGAACAGCAAGCTTTTGAGCCTCTCTGACATCAGTTGAATAATTTTACAACAGCTTAAATAATGTTACAATTGATTTAAAAGGGAGAACAGGGAAAGAAAAACCTGAGCAAACCTGGAAGTACTTTGATCTCTGCTTCATCACTGTATTTGGGAGAACCACCAATTTCAATAGAACAACAATATGTTCCGCCATCCTCGTCTGTAGCATTGCTAATAATTAAAGCTCCACTTGGCAACTTGAACACACGGTCATCCAGAAAGAGTGGCTGATGATCTAGCCACCATCTTACAAAGGGTGCTAGATCAGCATTGACTTCACAGTTAAGAACTATGCTGTTCCCTCTATGGACCGATGCTGACTCTGGCTGTGTGATGAATCTTGGAAGCCCTGAAAACAAATGTAAAAATAACAAAATGTTACACTGTGCACCTAGACTTTTTCTAATTTCTTCTTTCTTGAGAAGGTATGTATTCTTACAATTTGGGAACATATACTAATGACCTTGATTTTGGAAGGCGTAACAGACTTGGCTCATCGTCCACATTCTTACTAACATAGCCCATAGTACTGTATAGTGTATCTTATCTCTTTACAGAATAACAGGATATAGCTCAACTATAAGAAGCCACATTTGATTCCATCACCAAAGAACAAGAGACCAGAAATTCAGATTATGCATCTCCTCTGAATTACATTTTTAATCTAACAGACACATAACTGAAGCTACAGAATCAGGAGAGAGAAAGTAGCACTTTAGGACGACAGGTTAGTACAGCATGAACGGAATGGCACTCCTAGACACTTCTCTGCAAGGACACTGGGCAGGGGGCACCCAGGACACGTGGGGGATTTTAACGGCACAGTGATGCAATGCAAGTAAGATCAGAAAGCCAGGGCTTTAGACATTTAAGATAAACCAAAACTATAGGCATTTGCCACCAAAAAAGGGGGGTGTGTGTCTCAGAAGATCAAAGTGTATGAGCATTATTCTATCTAACCAACACGTGTATGAGCATTATTCTATCTAACCAACAAGTTTTGGCCCTTGGGGCCTTCCTCAAGGGAACTTTGAATATTTATTAGTTCATGAAACTCTTAAAAAGGGATGGGTAGCTGAATTAATTTCTCATTGAAATTTCTCAAGAAGACCAATCCCTGTCCCAACTATTGTCTACGTCAGTGGTCCCCAACCTCAGGCCTCCAGATGTTCTTGGACTTCAACTCCCAGAAATCCTGGCCAGCAGAGGTGGTGGCAAAGGCTTCTGGGAGTTGTAGTCTAAGAACATCTGGAGGCTCAAGGTTGGGGACCACTGGTCTACGTAATGCTCTTACTTTTGCATATCACTCCAGCCTGTCTTTGGTTAAGAAGCAGTTGAAATCAGTCTCTGCAGTTCAAAAACATCTGAGTAACAAAGGTTAAGAACTACTGCTCTTACTTTTGCATATCACTCCAGCCTTTGGTTAAGAAGCAGTTAATCAGTATAAAGGCCTTGGAGTGTCTACATTTGAGTGATTCCTCCTTCAGCATTCAGTCCATTCCAACTGAGACTCCTTTGTACAAGTTCTGCTGTTGGCATTGTTCCCATGGACACAGGAAATCAGGAGAGGTTGCTCTAGGTTCTTCCAACCTTATGTTCATCCTCTCCCTGAGGGTTGTCAGTGATTCAGTTTTCTCTAGGTTGCTGATTCTCAGTGTATTATTTTAGTGTGGCTCACAACTGTTTGGCTTCCTTGACAGGAGACCAAATATACAGAAGCAGTTGCATTTTACTTGGATGGCCTTCTGATCACTATCTCTGCCTTAAATAGTCAACAGGGCCACAGTGGTCATGCCACCATCTATGTCTGGCTATTTGCAGCATGATTTTCTCCTACCCATTCTTTCCCAACAAGTGCCTCAGAATTTGTCTCCTCACATGCACATTTTCACTTGGCGGAAATGACACGAGTTGGCAAAAGGGCAAGGCCCTTACTGTGCAAGGCAGGGCTCATTTGGCACTCTTAGCCTGAAACAGGGTGGTGCCCTACTGGGTGGGCAGTGTGGAACAGACCTTCAGTGCTTAAAGAGGGCTCTAAATTTTAAAAAAAAGCCAAACTAGAAATGTACAACTCCCAAGCAACCCATGTGCAAGATATGGCTGGCTTTTGTGGTTAACTTTTAGCTATTTGCCAGAAGTTAAAAGATGACTTTCCATGCACCAGAAATCACATAATCGGAGGGCTGGGAAGATTTTCATAGTTTTATCTTTGGGCCAGAGGCCAAGCTCTACACGAAGAGGATAAGGTCTTGGAGATTGGGAAGATGCATCCCACACTAGTTCTCCACTGCTGATTGTTTCAACTGCACTTATCACACATGGCTGTAATTCAACCCAATCTTTGTGTTCCACTTTTTCTTTTTGTCTACCTGCAACTAAAAACTGGTAACAGCATAGCAAAATTCCTGACTAAAGTGGAAAAACATAGTCCCCCTGAGATTTGCAGGTGTATTCCTCTTCTGTCTTCAACAACGAATATATAAGTATCTATCATATAAATATATATATCTATCAATTTAGCTGTTCAGTTTCAGCAGCTAAGATGTAAATGGTACTCCATTCTGCCAGTGTGTCCAAAAAATAACAGATAAGAAGAGTATCATATAAAATCTATTTAATTAGCACCCAAAGCCACCATAATAGTATCCCATTGAAAGATGCAAATATTTGAACTCAGGAAGAATATGGACATTTAGATTCTTCAACAAGGAAGGGTACAGGTAGCCTAATATCACCAATACTGCCAAGCCTTCATGATTCTAGGCTTACAATTCTTGTTGATACCAAGCCTACCTAAAGAGGAAGCAAGATTTAATTTCTTTACTACATACATCAACATTTCTAAGTGTTACAAGTGTTACATGATTAGTGTACATTTAGTGAAATCTGTGGGCCAATTCCCTTGCCCAATAAGTATGCAAAGAATGTCAAGTATCTACAAAGGTTATCTTGAAGCAAGAATTTCACAAAATAATTGTGCAAAACCTCCTCTCTGCCATTCTCAACTTGTAGTTTTTGAAATTCATATAATACTGAATAATGAGTGTGAAATGTAAAATCCACTGCATTTATTATGAACACTTTACCAAATTGCTCCTTTTAAATTCCTCTAAATATGTTCTAACTTATTTTTCATGTCATCTGCTATTTTAGCATATTTATTATTTGTATGTTTGTTTTAATTCTATGCTGCCTTTCTTTCAGCAAAGAGACCCAAAGCGTTCACAAATAACTAAAACAAATTGCATTAAAAACACAATAAATTACGAAGTTAAGAAGCAACCAAACAACTTAAATATTTCAAAGCACACGTAAAAGGAACACAGGCACTGCTTACCATAAATGAAAGTATATGTGATAGGTTTAAGCAGTTACATGGAATGATACATGAGAATATCTGCATACCAGTTTACAAATAAAAACAACAGTCTGCAGTTTAAAAATCACTGGCATTAATTCACCGGTGGAGTGCTGGAAGATGGATGCACAAAAGGCACAATTAGACTTATCTTCAGAGAAGCAGAGGACAACTTCAAAAAGACTGAAGAAATGCTTTGCCAAGCTAATGTGTTTTCCATCACTCCATATGTATAGATCAGAAACAAAGTATTGTCTTTTCCGTTAAACTATTTGAACTTAAAACCAGGGGCAAGTGGGCAATTAATATAATTATATAAACATGCTATGAACTAAACCTTCTAGTCAGTCCAACAGAGATGGGTGAGTTATATAAAATTCAGAAGCAACATTGTATTTCAAAGTACGACAATGGTTTCTAGCAAAGAGCCAACATTTTATCGTCATAGAAAAACAAAACACTAACAGTTAAAATGGAATGGAATATGCATTTGAAGGGGGGAGGAGAGATACTGAAAATTCTAAATTCGGCTCCTAAATCCCGTAACAATTTTTCTGATTACTTACCTCCCAACAAGTCACATTGTAAATAAAGTTCTTCATTAATGTCACCTTTGAAATTTAGTTGTAAATCACGTCAGAATATTATGCTCTTTTTAGATAGACCTCTATCAATTCATATCAACTAGGAGCATTTCTAAACAGGTTCCATTTCAATGAGACTCCACCCCTGTTTAAAGAGCAAAATCACAGTTCTTAAACTGTGCTATTGTACGGGGTAGGATGCGTAGAGGGACTCACTGGAGAGCTTTGCGCACATTTATATAATTGAGCATGCCTCTGATGAGCAAATTACACAGGAATCTTTAAACACCATACTTATCTATCTATCTATCTATCTATCTATCTATCTATCTATCTATCTATCTATCTATCTATCTACCTATCTATCTATCTATCTATCTATCTATCTATCTATCTATCTATGCATTTATTTACTTATTGGATTGACTGAATAAAAACACAATTAAAAACAAAACTTCAGATACACTTTCAATAGTTATTTAAGGCTGGGACTGTCTGTAAGTGAGCACAGGCCTGCCATACAGAGAAGAACTATTAATGTCCACAATGGACCATAGATTGTCAATGATACATTTGAATGGCCACAACTGGGAACTGACATTGTAGATTACTACAATGACATAGTCAACAAACCACAGACCACACACAATGGATACAGAGACAGGAACAGAACTGTCACAAACCTAGTTGCCAAATCTACTCTGGCACCACCTTTACAGGTTCTACTAGTAACACTTGTTTATTTGTTCACCTGCTAACATGATTTACTGTATCTTTTGTTAGTAGTGTTCTTTTACATTCTATACCAGATAAACTGGACAATCTCTAAGCAATACAATAAATGGGACATAAATATGACATTAGAAATAGTAACACACAATCTATTTTCAGAACACATCAAACTCCCAAAACACTCTCTTGCCTACATCCACCTTCACTGTGAGCCAGGAGGCAAAACAGAGGCACCTCTCACCATTCCAACAAAGGAAAGAGAGCAAAAGGGACTATGGACTGGCAGCTCCTTCAAATAACACTATGGAAGATGTAGGTGGCCAAATGGAAAGAACCATCCCAGGGCCTAAGGGGGATGGGAGAGTTAAGAGAACAGTTAGAAAAGGTGGGAAAGATGGAGAAGGAGGGGAGAGAGAGAGAAAACATGGGTGAAGAGGTAGAAGCAGGAGAAGGAGAGGAGATAAAGAAGGGAGGGACATTACCACCAGTTTGGGAGTGTATCTGGTTAGAAACCCTTGGGCCCACAGGTAGGAAAGACTGAAGGTACCCAGGGAAGAAGCAAATCATGGAAGAAGAGCTGTGATTCCCCCTAAACCTTCATACTGGGGAGAGGCCGGGGCAAAGGAGTGGAAAAGGAGATTAAAAGGGAGAGGGAGAAAGTAGAGCAGGAAAGAA